TTTATCAACAACATTCCGGAACAAAGAGACTTTGGCTGCACAAACTCCAAGAGATGCCCAATTTGGAAGATCTTGTGAATCTTCTGCAGTCTAATCACACCTAATCTCTCAGGAATATCACCTTTATCTCCCTTTCGATGAGCCTAGAACTTATCTATGTATAATGTATCCATGTACTTACTAACTCAATAAAGAGGCATTTAGTGAAGTGTGTTAATGCCCTAATCACCCCACTTGAAGCACTAGGGATGAGGAAGGCCACCTGCCCTCACCTAACTTGCAGCTAAAGGTAACTGCATACTGAGGAGGGCCAGAGTCCAGATCATCCCCAAGAGGCCAAGGGGTTCCAAAATGCCAAACTGCAAGGAGTATCCTGAGGTAGAATGACCACACATCTTACTTTGATCATGACAGACCGTGATTCCACCGGAGTTGTTCAATGCATCCCCAAGTATTATCAAATGTGCCCCACTTTAAATAATTCATTATCTGGCCACCGTTTCTGGGCTAAGAGTTGATCTGAGAAGGCAAGACTCCACCTCACAGGCTGCTGCCCCTCCACACTCTTCCTAATGCAGGCATAGGACCTTGGCAAGCCTTGGTCTTAGGTAAACCTTGAGTTTGGTGACCATAAATTTGCCATGCTAAAAGCTTCCGAGGAGACAAAGAATAGCATAGAGTATTTGCATTACTTGCAAAGGCGTCTAGAATGTAAGAGCGGGGAATGTGGAAGTCAAAGGAAGTTGCTGCAGCAGGACAACAAATGCACACTGGCAGAGCAATGCCATCCCTCTCAGTAACACTGCAGAGAGATTAACTTACCACACCAAGAGGAGTTTGATTCCTTGAGCCTGACATGCACAGGGCAGTGCCAGTGAGATTATTTCAGTTTGTAAAATACTGAAATGATTTCATCCAGGCTGGTAAATAGCCATAACATCAAGAAGGCTGGAAATTTCACCTTGGCTGTCCCTTCCTCCCCAGACCAGAAGATCTGCTCATGAGCCAACATCTGGAGCCTTAACACTTGGTTCCACCAGAGTTCACCAGGAGCCTGCCCCAGTGCTCAGTCCCAATTTAATCCGACTGATCAGTGCCTGTGACATGCCAGTCATAGATTAATAATGTGAACATCATTCCTGTACACTGCTGCAGCAATTTGGGCAGAAGAACCCTGGGATCACTCAGAATATGAAACAGAACACGATACAGAAACAGAAACTCTGAGCCAGCAGAGCTGCACGTCCAGTTCCTCAAGTGCTGCCTCTCTCACCTGGTGTGTCCTGTCATGCTGGGAGCCCATCTTTTCTATCATTCGGTGTCCCCAAGGCCTAGGCCCTCTGTTTTCATTGTCCAATGGCACCACTCCTAGCTCTTCCTTTGATTATTGCCCAGGATGGGAGGAAACTTGACAGCCGCTGCCATCACGCTCTCTCTACAATTTCTTCCTACGTGTAGCTCCATGGTCCGGAGTTGGCAGGCATTGTACATGACTGCAAGTTTTCTGCCAACTATACCTTGGTATAGTAAGGATGACGTAGTAAAGAAAATATACAAGAACTGAAATACTGACATCTAGGGCTCATGGTACATGTGTAACATTGGTCTCCCTGAAAGAATAAAAAATTATTTCCGTTCATAGCTCATTTGCAAACCAGTGATAACCTACATTTCTCCAAGCTGAGGTACCAGTGCTAGTCCCTCTGTTCTGAAGAAGTTTAAGAGAAAACGAATAGCAGTCCTGAATTCCGGCTTTGTTGTTTGCCTGGTGTAGCCTTCTGCACATGTCACTCCCTCTTGGGCTGCCAAATGGGTAAATCACATCACCCCAACTTCCAGAAGAGATCTGGTGGGGAGGGTCGCATGAGAAGGAATGTAACATTGTTAAAGGAAACCAAGTTCTCTGCAGAGATGAGGGGGGTCACTGCTAAATCTTTCATGTCATTATAGCAAAAATTTTCACTTGTCACAGAAGAATCCTGAACTTCAGACTAAGGATCCCAGGAACAGGAAGTACAAGAATGAGAGAAACCTGAGGTAGAATGGACACCACTGAGGCCATGGGATGGAGAACAACATGTTTTACACCCTGACAATTTGGGCTTCAAACTGTGCATCTTCAAGACTTTAAACACAGGAACTTTAAAAAGCATTGTTTTATATTACAGTGAAGGACAACTAAGCAACAGATTTCCCCTTCACTCATATTAGATAAGGATAAATTGATAATTAAATCTAAAAGTAATCATAATAATCAAAGTTCCTAGTTATACTCATTTAGCCTATAGAAATCCACTTAACGATGTGGCCAAATACATAGGCCCCTTTATGCCCCTTTTCTCCTCTTTGACAGTTCTTTTTGGGCTATGCTGGGGATTAAACCCAAGGCCTTGTGCATGTTGTAACCACTGAGCTACCACCCAACCCTGATTCTTCTCTCTTATCTCCAAATGAACCAGCCAGCCATTATCAGTGAGGGAGGGAGGCAGAGGTTTCCTATACTGATTTTGCTTTAGCCACCCAGAGCCTTTAATTAAGGTTTGACACAGCCAGCTCTCTGGATGGAACACAAGAGTTCAGGCTCAGCCAAGCATTGAAGTGCATGCTTGAAATCATAGCTACTCCGGAGGCTGAGGCAGGAGGATCATAAGTTGGAAGCCAGCCTTGACAACTTAGCAATAACTTGTTAAAATAAAAATAAAGAAGCCTAGGAATGTAGCTCAGTGCAAAGTTCCTGAGGTCAAGCCCCTGTAGCATAAAAGGAAGAAGACAGAGAGGACAAAGAGAAGAAGGGAGGGGTGGAAGGAGCCAGGCTTCAGAGATGACACGCTCAGTGTCTAATCTTAGATGGGTCACTTCCCTCTGGGCATTGGCTTTTTCTCCTGAAAAGACAAAAGGTTTCTCTTTCTCAGTGTAAGCCAGAGTTGTGCCAGGGGAAGCCTAGCTGAGTATGATTCCCTAAATTGTGCCTCAGGGAAGTACAGGTACTTAAAGCCAATGGTTTCCATCAAAAAGAAGCTAACCCTGGGGAAACGTGTAATATCCATTAGCACCCCCTCCCCAGGTCACGCTCCCAGGCCAGGGTTTACTGGTCCTCAGATCAAAGCTCTGTTGCATCTTTAGTGTGAAGAGAGAAATCTGTGATAAGTGGGCTTCCGGAAACCATGCTTTTAGTATCAACAAAACAGTAGGAAGTGCAGCAGACTGTCCAATCAGGTCACCCTTCAACCTTGGGTAGCCCTCAAATATTGTTTCTTGAAACTTCCCTCTATGTGTCTGAAAAAATATGAATTTTTTATGAACCTCACAAATTGCTGTTAATTAATCCTTAAACCCTGGAGGAGTTACTTGATTCCTTTCCTTTTTCTTGCTGGTTACTGAAGCAGGAAGTATGGGCAAAGAGAATTTAAGAGTATAACTGATTTTTTTTTAAAAAAAGCCAGATATGGCCTCACACGCCTCTAATCCCAGCACTCTGGAAGGCTGAGGCAGAATTGTTTGAGCCCAGCGTGGGCAATTGAGCAAGAGACAATGTCAAAATCAAAATTGAAAAGGGAACTTGGGATGTAGCTCAATACAAATGCCTGGGTTTCGATTCCCAGTGCCACACAATGACACAACACACACACAAACACACACACACACACACACACATCACTCTTACTTGTGTTGTTCTTTGAACTGTTTTACTCACTGGCTTCTCCCATTCCTTCTTTCTCTACAATGTATCAGACCGTGTTGTGGAAGCTCAGACACTCCTTTCCTTTGTACCAGCTCAGCATCTTCCTGTGATCTCAGTATCCTTGAAGTACATGACAGATGAAGAAGTCATGATGTCAGTGGACTGAGTCCTTTGCTAAAATACAGCAGTCAGGTCGGGAAAGACTTCCTGATTCCCTCAGCAATAACACACTGAGAAACAGTGCGCTGGGTAAAGTGAGCTCAGTAAAAGCACTTCCTCAAAGGCATTAGACTGTGCTTTTAAATTTTTTTAGAAAGTAGAAGACGAAAAAAAATACCAGTAGACATGGAAACAGCCCAGGAATTTGGCTCTGTGCCCCCTGAAGACTGTTATTTGACAGCTCTCTGATGTGTCACTGTTAGGCCAGTAATAATCACCAAGAGCTAATATTTGTTGAATGCTAGGGTTCTTTCTACCACTACTAGAGAAGGGCGAGAAAGATCCCAAAGGCCCATGAAGCTCTGACTGATAGATTGGTAAGGCCCAGCAAGGCAGAGTGGAGGGGAAGGTGGTACCCAAGGGAGGTGGTTCAGAATCAGCACCAGTTGTCTCTACCTCCGTGGGCATGAGGGCTGGGTCACCACAAAGAACCAATAATACTCAGAGTTCCTTAATAAACAAAGTTCTTAATCCAAGCATATAAAATGCCATCAGGAGCTTCTGCTTGCAGTGGGCAGCGGGGCCTGGATTCCAACAGCAGCTCTGGTGTGTTACTGTGGATAATTAGGGACAGTTTGGGATTATTCTCCGTTACTTCCTTCGGCCTGTTAATGTGAAGAAAGCATCTCTCACCACACCATCATCTCAAGTTGTGGCATCATCCTGCCTCATATGTGTGCAGTGGGGTTAATGGATAAGGTCTCAGGAGAGAATTTCAAGGAAAGAGAAGCATAAGGTTACTGTTCAGAAGAAGACAGAGGAGTTAGAGCTGCTCTTGTTCAGTTTCTGTTGCTTTTACCTTAATGGCAATTAAAACAACTTTAAAGATATAGTCAAGGGTCAAGTTCTCTTTTGTTTATTAGCCTGCTTTTCTTCTAATCATCACCTTTCTAAGAAGCTACCTTTAACCATTTCCCCATGTAATTCTTACTCCACTGGCCTGCTTTTAGGAACTTCAGAAATGACTCAAAATCAGTACAGTAGGGAAAAAAATATTTATTTTCTAAAATCATTACCTTGACAGGCAAAACAAAGCATGTTCTCGATTTCATTCAGAAATACATTTTTTAAAAAAAATACATAGACCAATATGGCCTGCCCAGACATATATTCAACATGGTAAATATAAAGAATAAATTGTTTGAATATAAATATCTCTAAAAAAATAGGTACATCAGAATTCAATCTAAGCTCTTCCATTACCTGGTTACATAAAGAAACAATAATTTTACTGCTTTAAAGCATAACCAACATGTACTTTTCTGTTTCTTTCATAAATGCCCCTATAACATTGTACTTCCAATAAATCAAGGTAGAGGAAGCTCCTGATTGTATGATCTTTCTTCTCACGGATCAGAGCTAGCAGATTAGCATGAAAGCGTTGTATCTACTACTGACACATTGAACCGAGCTTCGGTGAGGCTCGGACCCGACATGCGGGTTGGAAGGGGTTGGTGATGAAGGGCGCAGATTGGGGAAGCAGGAATAAAAGGTGGGAAAAGCTCCAACCAGAGTGCAATAATGCTGAGGTAGACTCAAACTCGTGAATCACATCCTGATTTCCAGTAGTAACAGTTCCTTTCAGCTTTGCATTTTATAATTTAAAAAGCCCCGTCTTTTTTTTTTTAATTTTACTTGAGTGTTTGTCTTTTGAGTGTGTTTTCAATTTATGCATTCCTTAGAAAATCATTGCGTGAACTTTGGAGTTTCTCCCTGAAATGTGCCAGGCGCCTGAGTCAGACACAAACACACCTTTAGGACTTTCTTCTGAAACTCCACCCTCCTGTGGAATCTCCTTCCTCCCTTTGTAGGATGCCACACTAATATGAAGGCATCATGTGTCCTGCTTTCGGAGAGGTCCACTGTCATTCTCAAAGGCAAGAAGAGACAAAAGCAATTACCACCAATGGAAGCAAAGGAAGACAGGTTGAGGAACACCTTCGCCTTTCTTGGAATGCATACAAGAAGGACGCAGGTCCTTTGCCACTCTGGAACGAGATGCAGACTAAGCAGAGAGGGTCCTCTTGCTCTGATCCCAGCCGGCTTGGAAAGAGCGCACAGTTGGCCACAGGGCTCTTTCTCTGGAGGTGACGGCTTCAGACAGACCCAGAAGCTCTATAATCAATGTGTTCGGTTCTGGGTCACTTTCTGCTCTCTGTAGAGCATGGCTTTCAACTTTGCAAGGGGTAAAGATGGTTTGATACCATTGCTGATGGCCTCCAACCTGTGAAAACATGACGAGGGAAAACAAATGTTGTAAGAATCACTCCTTGGCTAAAGAAACATCTAAAATTAGAATCTGGCACAAACCAATCTAAATCTGGATTCTGAACTTTCACCACCAACCACAACGGCACATTACCCTTTGATAAAACCTCAAGTGGTATGAGTTACCATTGTGAAATAAAGTTTACCATTTATGCTTAGAATGGGGAGAGCAGTCATGTGATCATGTCTAAGGGGAATTGGGCACTAAGGCCGATTTTAAAATAAACCAGAGATGTTCTAGAGTCTTCTATGCCCCTATCTCAATATTCTCTACTATGCAGACACTCAGTACAGGTTTCCAATAGTCCTGGGTGTCTACATTATATAAGACTAGTGGTAACAGACAGAAAGAAGGAGAAACAAGAGGCATAGATGCAGCACCCAAACAAATACTTGTAGTAATTTTTAGAAATTGCAAGCCTTAAGTTTTCTTTTTTGCAGGAGAAGAGAAGAGGGAAGAACTATAACACTGACTTCACAAGTGACATAGTACAAAGAATAGAAACAATAATAATTCCCAAGTCAGTTCAGCTGCCGTGATCTAGTGAGGATCCTTGCTGGCCCAAGATGCTGGACCCAGAATCTTCAGGTGTAGCCAAGGCATCCACACTCAGTAGCAAACAACTCACAAGAGCCTCGTGACTGCTAAGCCTGGGCTTAGAACACTCCAATCACAGAACCTCTTGCCTCTGAATTTCTCAGAAAAGTTTCCGTAGACCACAACAGGAGAATGCAGAGCAGATGGCAGATCGGAACAAAGATTTCCTCCCTCAAACTTCTGAGTGCCAGAAAGTTTAGGATTTGGAAAGATCATCCCTGTAAAGCTGCCCACAGTCACCCCATGAGACCTTTGTGAAATGACACCAGCTCTCTACAAATGCATTTCCCTATTTAAAAACCAATCAGACACTCAAAAAACAGCATGTTCTGAGTCTCACCAACCCTACCTCATGTATTTTCCCTGTGGCCATTTGAGTGAGTGCTACCTTTGCAGAACTTGATTGGGCATGGCTTTCATTTTTTTTCTTTTCAAATGTCCTCTACTTGAAGTGATTTTTAATTTCTCAAGAAAAACAGTAAACACACTTGGAAAAAAATACTGGACATGACCAAATGAAAGTTTTCTCTGGATGCATTTGGCTTGGAAAATACACCTAAAATATGAAGGGTGTATGCTAAAGAACAGTGGGTAAGAGTCTGTGTGCGAGGCCTTTGTAAAAATATTTGCTCTTTTCAATCTGTAGACCATGAATACCCCCATCACTATACTTTAAACCTTTCCTCCACCCAAGTAGGGAAGACTAGAAGTTTCGGCAACAGCATCAATGACCAGGGCTAAGTCATTCTTGTGACCTCTTACCTTCTCATTTTCCTTCCTTTCACCAGCTCCCAGGAGATCCACTTCTTTCCCAGCTTGGAACAATCTTTTCCTTTCTTGTAGTTATCCCAGCCTTTCTCCACTGTGTCCTGGGAACTGTTAAAACACACAGGGAAAACCATTTCAGCTGTGATATCTTCAGATTCACCTTGACTCTCTACATCCCCGGTACTCTCTAAAACAAGAAGGCAGCTTTTCAACAAGAAGGAGGTCAGGAGGCTGCCCGACTGGCTGAAAAGAAAGGGTAGGGTTTTTGTTGTTGTTGTTATTCTACTCACCTGAGTTCTTTTCCTGGTTGGCAAAAATTCCAGCACTTCTTGTCTTTTGGGTTAGCACACTGGCATCTGTTCCTATGCTCTACTGCCTTTGTAGGAAATAATTCTTTCAAGGATCGCTTGGACCTAGAAGGGCTTCCAAGTCCGTAGGGAACAACATGCCTATCATCAAAAGAGAAACAAAAGACATTACCATAATTAATAGTCTTCCAAATGACACATTCTTCTGAGTGAACTCATTCCATTGGGCACACAGTGAGCTAAGCACACAGCACTGAGACAGTAATTTAAAGTATGGCAACAACGGCAACACGTGTGTGTCCAACCAAGAGAAAACTAGTTTTTCTGATCCAGTGAAACTCTTTCTCAACTCTTCAGCAAAGTTCAGTTTCTTCTTGACACACACAACATTGTTTTTTGTCCAAAAATTATGACCTCTCTGTTTTGGTGTCTATTTTACATTTTCTTTCTTTTCTAAGGTTCTATTTAGTTAACAGCTACTTGGGGGTGGGGAAAACAGAAAAACTAATGCAAAACCAAGACTCAGAAGATTTTTAAGACCTATATTCAGTTGGAAGTATAGATGAGGAAGCTACAGGTGGTCCCTGTGGGGAGATTCATGTCTCCGTGATTCTCCTGCAGTTTGGTGACATTATGAGGCTGAAGAAGGTCTCACTGCCAGAAGCTCTCCCGCAACCTGCAGTGCGTCAATTTTGATTCTCACCTGAAGAAAAAAGTCCACTTTGTGGACACACCACCATAGTAAGTATTAGGCTCAGGGTGGTTTGCTTGGGTTTGATTGTTTGGATTTTGGCCCTCCCTCACCACAGTGGACATTGTAGACATGATAGATAGATGTGCCCTTGTTTGTGACTACTTCTTATGGAAGATCTGGCTTGGGGGGCAAAGAGGGAATACTGCTTTGCTTTACTCTCTAAGCAGGAGGGAAGCTCATGAACCATATTTCTGTTTCTGTCATTAAATAGGCCTTTGCTAAGAGAAACAAGAGCCCCAGAACGCCTTTCTAGGCGGAACTCACTGCTGCAAAAGGAACTTCCAGGTTGAACTGGAGCTCTTCTATAAGTAAAATGAAGCGAGTGGATTATAACTCTCGCTAATCCCTCCGCTGTTCACTCTCCACCCTCCTGGGAGAAGCACAGGGGGAGAAATGCACAGAGGACCTCAACAGCTTACACTCTGAGCCCAGCCTGAGGTTACCATGAAAGCGTCTGCTGTGTCCGCTCACCTAAGGCTTGGGTGGTGACTTTACCACCCCCACCCCACCCCGCGAATGCGCACCGGCTTCTTGCTGGTCCTCAGTTCCTTCCATCCATCCCATCCCACAGTGAGTAGCCTGACCTCAGAGGACCACTCGACTAACTGCTGTCCTGCCAAGGCACTGTTGCCACGAATGCATTTTTCTGTTGTTAGAAACGCTACTTTCAGAATCCAAGCCAGGAATTCCCCAGAAAAGCAAGCCTAGTACGGGGGAAGCCAGCGTCCAGGAATGACTAGAGCGACGATGCCCTCTAGGGACTCACTCGGGAGTGTTGACCCAGATGATGTCCAAGTGGCAGAAGTAGACGCACTCCTTGTCCATCAGGGAAGAGCAGGAGCAGCGCTTGGACCTGCGCAGCAGCCCCAGGACGCCGGTCGGGGGCTTCTCCCCTCCTGTGCTGTGAGCCTTCAGGCTGAGCGCTGCGCCGGAGACCACTGCTGGGAGAGAGGGAGTGCAGGTGAGCGGGGGTGTTGTCCAGACGCCAGACACGCTGGGTCACAGTGTTTACGCCCGACCGAGCAGAGCAGATAAAGGCAGACAAAGCGTACAGCTGCCTTTAGCAAGAAACACAAACAGAGGGAAAGGGCTCGCTCGCTCGCTAGCTAGCTATTATTTATTTATTTATTTATTTATTTTCCTCCTTAACATGATTTCACCTTTACCTGGCTGGCTTATCCACCTGCAGGGAGATTATCCCAAAGCAGAGGAGGTAAACACCCAAGGGGAGATTTATCAGCCCCCTTGAAGAAGCCTTCAAGGAAATACCTGAAAGTCCTGCCTACTGGAAACTTGAGTTGGTTTGCACAGAACTCAGTAGGACTGCACAGACCGCACAGACCATGGTGCCTTAAAAGTGGACAATGACTGAAGACGCAGAGGTAGAAACCCTTCCTGTCGGGATGAGCTTCATTTTGGGGGTACCCACCACCTTCCACTTTGTGTGGAGCATGCAGTGGTCGAATGATAGATACCTCTTGCAATGAAGCAGAAGGCAAGAGCATCAGGAAATGACTGAGGAGAGAAATGAACTCTCTAATAATATTCGTGTCAGGTGGGAAACTCCACCGAAACCACTGTTCCACAGGGAAGCTGAGAAGCAGCTCCGGGCACAGAAGAGGCTGTGGATTTGGAATCCATAAGCGTGGAGCAGCAGCGCTGCTTGTGTGGGACCTGCACCTCCTCTCCCTTCCCCAACACAGCACTGCTCTGCCTGCTGACAGTTCAGCCACACAGCTCATCTGCCCAGTTTTGTACGTTTCAAATGATCAGACACATTCCAAGATTTCCATTCCCTTACATCCTTTCTCTTTAGTCAGGGTCGTGAAAAGACAAAAAAGGGTGCACTGACCCCGGCAAAAGGGGGAGAAACAGGCAGATGCCAGGGCACTGTCTCAAACCTTAAGCAGCAGGAAGTAGCCCAGCCCCCCTTCCAGGACAGGTGAACACTGCTGAAGGGAGTGCTCACGCTGTTTCAGGTGCCAAAAACCTGCCCAAAGAAGCCTAAAGTCAATAATGACAATTTTTAAAGAGAACATCTGCTTCACCCTGAAACCGCCTGGGGTTACTCCACACACTCCTGTTCTTCAGGTAGTTTTACTGTTCGCATATTCCTCAGACAGCTCGAATAAAATTCCTTGGCTTCAAGCTGGAATGTTTAACTATTTTGCACACAAGCACACTATTAAAACAGTGTTTGAATAAGATAAAAGTTCCTAAAGGTACCGTGTGCCTATACGAACACATGAATTGCTAACACACATTTGGCTAAATTACAGCTTCCCTATATGCTTCTTGATTTTTTAAAAGCTCAGGAAGTCAATTCTGCAGTGATAAAAACATAAGTTTTTGTTAAGCTAGGGTATATTTAATTACATTCAGTTGAGCTTTACTTGCTCACCAGAACACTTGCGTAGCTGTGAGCACAATTTCCCAGACAATTGCTACCTGAACAGAAAGGGGGGAAAACAGAAGCAAGAAAAGCATTCAGGCGAATCAGAGGACCCTGAGGTTCGCAGGTTTACAAGGCAGCGCCTACCTGTTTCTGGAACTCCGTGCAGAGTCACCAACAGCAGGGGGAAAATCACGGGGAAATAATCCATTCTGGAAAAAATAAAATTTTTTTCTAAATTCCCCTGCAAACTGAATTAAAAGGAAAACGAAGAAAAAAACAGCTGCCGTTCCCTCAAAGCGTTTCTGAGTATTCAGAGCTCAGTGATCCTGCAGCCCAGTGCGCTTTCTCCGGGGCAAAAGCGACTCCCCAGGCCGGCGTGTAGGCAGAGGCAGCGGGCTGCAGTGCAAGGCGGCGAGGGAGCACGGGGCCGGACGCTCGCCAGGCGCCCGCAGAAGCGCTCTGACTTGGACAGCTCTCCTCCGGCTTTTTATATTGAACCCCCATCGAGTGGGGGTAAACAGCTCCGACTTTATCCCAGCCCTAGACAATGTTATTGTGTTATTAGTCACCAACAGGCAACGTGCGGCGGGAGATAAGGCCGGGTCTAAAGGAAATCACTGCTAACTTCAGAGGCAGACGCCCGCCGTCTGACAATTCAGGGGCAGGGCTAAGAAAAAGAAAATACCCATTAGAGACTTCGGTAAACCTGCCCGTGCAGGGCTGGAGTCAGGCTTCCCCTTTGCAAGCTGCCAGCCGGAGTTCAAGAATCAGAAAAGGGACTCCATGAAAAAAAGTCATACCATTGGTATGAAAAGTATGAGCTACAAGTTTAAATAGATTGCATTGTGCGCGGGGGTGGGGGGTTCATTGTTCGCTGTATTTTCCTTTTATGTCTACCCACTCAGTCTCGATCAGACAAGGGGACACACTCTCTTTGCTGCCCCCTGCTCTTGGAATTATTTGGGCATATCAACACAGATCGCAGCAAGCCCCTTCCCCGAGGTCATTTGGGGGAGGATAAATAAAAGTTCTTTGCTTCTACAATAAGGAAGCTCAGAGAGAGACAGACAGGCAAGGAAGAAGGAATTTTTTAAAAAAATTAAAAAAACAGGACTCAACGAGGCACATGCACCGTTTGGGGGTGGGGGTTCAAAATCTCTAGAAGCCCCCAGAAATTTTGTTCTGTGCCCACCCCTCTGTCAACTGCACCACGGTCATTACCATTGATCTTGTTTTAAAGCGCATTTTTAAAAATACGCATTAGTACATGTTTGAAGTGCACAATGTTTCCATTCCTGTGTGGAGTTGGTCCGCGCAGGTAAAACATCACAATTCCTTTTTCCATCCCCTTCCTCTTCCCTCCTTCCCCTCTGTCCATCTCTTCCCATTGAAAAAGGACTGTCTCCCTGTTTCCTGTTGTCTGTATTTTGTTTTGCTCTTCATTTATAATTTCGGTTTCCCTATAGGAGAAACCATACCCCATTCAAGCTTCTGGGTCTGATTTATTTCATTAACCAACAATTTTAAGAATCGGCAAGGAAGAACAGCAGGGGGAGATAAAGAGCCACAGGGGCTGGTGTTTCTTTAGGACAAAAAAATAAATCTTGGCCTCTAAAGGACGGGGAAACAACAGGAGGCCAAGGCCAGGGAATGGCCTAACACAGGAGAGGGGAGTCCTGAGAGAGCCCCCTGGGCTCCTGACCCTGAGGTAAGATCGCTCTCTTGAATCCCCTCCCTGATTTAGAGGGAAAGATGCTTGTTCCACAGGTTGCTGACTTAGACTCCAGGGTGCTGTTGGGAAGGCGGAAATGCCTGTGACCAGTGAGCAGATCAGGTAATACCTCACACATAGTAGTGTGTTGGTGTTTTCAAAACACTTTCCTATCTATTTAACCTTCACATGCCCCCAGAGGTGACCACAGGCCACTAATTCACAAGTGCCAGCATTCAGCAAAACACACAGGTGATGCACTGGCTTTTTCGCTCAGCTGCATTTTCCAGTGAGGGAAACCGAGGCCTCCAGAATGTCCAAGTGGCACCCAAGTTCCCCCAGCAAACCCCGCAAGGCCTCCAAGATCCATTTACAGTCCCTTCCCTGCACTGGAGAAATCTGAGTCTCAATCTAGGACCTAGGGAAGCTGTCTGGATAAAACCCTCTGTCTCCTCCTATAACCCTTCTGTTTTCCCACTGGGGACAGACTGGAGCTTCCACATGGACCTAATTCTAATACTTGACAGGAGGCCGCTTTTTCACTTCTAAACTCCAAAAGAGTGTTTTACCCCATCCCCGGAGCTGTGGTCTGGTCCCCTGGACCTCCCTGGAAAACATGGCTGAGGATGCACAGCAGCTGTGTCAGGTGCCACGGGACATCAGCTCCCTCAAAGGCACTAGAGGAACATGGAGATGGGGGCTGCATGTCCCTCTCACACCCCAGATGCTTGTCCAGCCTGGGGCTCTGCAGGATGGGGTATCCACCTCCACCCAGCCCCGAGGGCCAGGAAGACACACTTCCCCCTTGAACTGAGCCCAACCGGAAAGCTGAGGTCCTGGTCCCAAGATCCAAGCTGCCCCTGAAAGAGCAGGAGGAAGAGGTCTTGGAAGAATCTTGGGGACCCCCTTCTTTTTTAAACTTCTGGCAAATTTGCCCAGACACAAGCAACGGTCAGAACCAACTCATCTCAGCCCCTTCCTGGAAACCACTGCCCCTGCCCATGCCCATGCCCTGGGTGTCCAAATCCGACTACCATCCACCTGGGGGGCAGCTCTCCAGTCACCTGAACCCCCCCCCACACACACACCTTCCCACCGCTCTCCCTCCTCTCCTGTATCATCCTAGGAATGCATTCAAATTAGAAATACAAAATCTGGGCAGTGATCCACTCCCACCCTGGCCTTCTAGAGCCTTGGGAAAATAAATAAAAATGCAGGATTTCAGACCTGAAAAGTTCTGATCTTTCCAAGTATAATCTTGCCCCATTTTTTGAATCCTGCATTTCCAAGTGCCAGTGCAGTGTATTTGTATTTCCAGGCCCTTTTATGTGTGCCTTGGAGGAAGGGATGGAATCTGCCTTTTCTGTCCACCCCTCCCTGTCTGCCTCTGCCACAGCCCCCTTTACAGTAGTAAGGAAGGAGTACCGCCCCCTGTCAAGCCCAGAGAAGGTAGCTGTGCACCACCAGGCAGCTGCCCAGCAAGAAAATTTCCCAAGAATCAAGGAGAGGGGAGGGGAAGAGAACCCAAAAAAACCAGTTTTGCAAGTTAGATGTTCCCATTCCACCTCCACTTATGGCATTATTAGAAAAGGAGGTAGGAGGGGAAAGTAGAAAAGTTGGATAACAGAATAAATATGAAGGTTTTATAATTGGGGAGGTGCACCCCTTCAAAGAACTACCAGGGAAATGGCTCTCTGAAGCCCCACATCCCCAGAGCGAAGGGGCAAGGGGGAAAAAAAGAAGCAATAAGATGGTTTTCCTCCCATCAATAGCGATTTGCTATTGCAGCTCTTGCCTTTGATGTTACAATCCAGCCGCTGGAAACTATTTGATAAAGCTATATTCTTTTATGTATTCTTTCTGTATCTCTGGCTCTGTATTAATAGAAGTCTATAAATAAAACACCATGAGTCCCAAATACAAAGACTACACAGTAACAAAAAGTACTGCTATTAGCACTCTTCAGCTTCGCTGTTTCTCAACTTTTGCGTAATAAGCTTTGCAACTTTGTCAAGCCCGTAAATTCGGTGTGAGATGTTGCATTTTGCTCACGGAAGAGAATAGTCGCGAAGCTGCTTGACAATGGGGCAAAGCAGAAGCTGTCCACACCACTAGACTTGGCTCAGTCCTACCCTGGTGACTGTTCTGCATTTGTACTTTGTGTGGTGCTCTTATGAAAAGCATTGTTTTCCATTTCTTATGCCTCTGACACACTACACACCTCCAGGAACCCTGTACAAACACAGTTTCGCCTTGCAACTGCAACCTCAGTAATCACCGTTGACTGAGCACAGGAAATGTGACAATGGTCAGGAGAGACTCATCCTGTGCGTTTTCAAAAGAAAGTATGCAACTCCATCTCCTTGACATTTACCCACAGCACCATGAAGGATGGCAAGCACTTAATTTTTTTAAAAAGTCTATCCAATCCTCTAACCAAGCTTTTCCCAAAGCTCAATCATCCATAAAACTTTTTCCCAATGTTTTCGCCCTCTTTGTGTGTTGTATACTTAATATTTTCTTTGCAACAGACTTATTTTTTCTACGTGAATGATTTTAAGGAAATTTTACATTGCTACTATTCTCAGCCATAATATAACTGACATCATGGTTTAATATATTCCCACTCCAGCTTGCTTGTCAGTCTTGGCAAACACTATTCCATCCCCTGCAATGGCTATGCTTTACTGTGTTAAGAATTAAGCCCTAGGGCTGGGTATTTATCTCAGTGTTTCCACCGCCTGCTTTGCAAGCACAAGGTCCTGAGTTCGATCCCTGGAACCACCCAAAAAAAAAAAAAAAAAAAAAAAAATGAAGCCCTGCTTTGGTTCCCTTCTCTGACTCTGCTTTCCAGATAAATCCCAACTATCCACCCGAAAATCCTCCTATGGATGTTCGTCAAAGAAACAGAATCTAGAAAAACAAAGGAACCTCATCCAGAAGGTTTAGTTGACACTTCTCCTTGGCTTAGTGCATCGGTGATTCAGCAACTGTCCTTTATTGTACTTTCTATCCTCTGTCCCAAATTTAAATATCCTGTCCAAGCGGTTTCATTGACACACACATGAATGCATGCATATAAATCCATAGATTCCAGTGAGAAAGTAACAATTCTGCACACATCACAGAAAATGTGGCAGCCACTGGCTGCCTTCACATTTTATATCTTCCGTTTGTACGTTTGTGCCATTCACAACATTTGGACCTGAAAGGACACTGACGCCAAGGACCAAAGGAAACCCTTTTGAGGGTGAATAGCCAGGAGTCACTTGATAGATCTGATTTATGGAATCATTCTGAACTAGTGCTCTTTCCATGCACCGGAAGGGATGTGCTAGGCTTTGAATAAGGTTTGGACCCTCGAAACTCATAGGAAAATTTGATTTCCACTGTGGTGTGGGGGTGTAGGGAGAAGAGGCCTTTTCAAGATGATTGGGTCATTAAAAGGGATTAATGAGCTGTTACAAAGCCAGGCTGCTTCCGGAGTTTCTCTCTTGC